GAAGGAGGGACATACTAAAGATAAGAGTGAAAATAAATAAAATAGAGACTAAGAAAACAATAGAAAAAAATTAACGAAACCAAGAACTATTTTCTTTGAGAAGATAAACAAATAGCCAGACTTACCAAGAAAAAAAGAGAGGACACAAATAAACAAAATCAGAAATGAAAAACAAGTTATAACAAATACCCAAGAAATTCAAAGAATTATAAGAGAATTCTACAAAAAATTATATGTCAATAAAGTGGACCACCTAGAAGAAATGGATAAATTCCTAGAAACATACAATCTTCCAAGACTAATCCAGGAAGAAACAGAAAAATCTGAACATACCAATTACTAGTAATGAAATTGGTGATCAAAAAGCTCCCAACAAATAAAATTCCAGGACCAGAGAGCTACACATCTGAATTCTACCAAACATTTAAAAAGGAGCTAATACTTATTCTTCTTAAAACAGTCCAAAAATTGCAAGAAGAGGGAATACTTCCAAACTCATTCTATGAAGCCAATATTCTAATACCAAAACCAGACAGATGCTTCAAAAAAGAAAACTACAGACCAATATCTGAAATGAGCATAGATATAAAAATCCACAAAATATTAGCAAGCCAAATTAAAAAATACATGAAGAGAATCCTTCACCATGACCAAGTGGGATTTATTCCAGGAATGAAAGGATGGTGCAATATCTTCAAATCAATTGATGTGATACACTGTATTAACAAAAGGAAGGATAAAAACCATGTGCTCATCTCAATAGGTGCTAAAAAAGCATTTGACAAAAATCAGTATCCATTCATGATAAAAACTCTAAATAAAGTGGGTATAGAGGGAACATATCTCAACATAATAAAGGCTGTATATGACAAACCTGAATATGAAAATAGGCACCTAATTTGAAAATGGGCACACCTATGTTCATTGAAGCATTATTTATAATAGCAAAGATATGGAAAGAAGCCAAGTGCCCATCTATAGGTGGTGAAAGGATAAAGAAGTGGTACATATACACAATGGAATATTACTCAACCATTAAAAAGGAAATCTTGCCATTTGCAACAACATGGATGGATCTAGCAGGTATCATGCTAAGTGAAATAAGCCAGGCAAAGGAAAACAAATACCATATGATTTTACTTATATGTGGAATCTAAAAAACAAAACAAATAAGAAAGAAACATACCTACAAATATAGACAATAGACTGTTGGTTGCCATAGGGAATGGGGTGGGGGAATGAATGAAATAGGTTAAGGGGATAAAGAGGCACAAACTTCAAATTGTAAAATATTTTAGACATAGGAATAGACCTACAGCATAGAGAAATAATAATATTGTAATATCTTTGTATGATAATGGGCTAACAACACTTATTGTGGCAAGCATCTAGTAATGTATATAATTATTGGGTCACTATTTGTACATCTGAAACCAATATCATATCAATTTCATTCCAATAAAAATAAAATAAAATTCACTTGTAAATTTTGACACTTTATCCACAGTAACTTTTGGATTTTCTGCATCCACAACATGTTATTGTTTCATTTTCTTTTTTTATTCTTAAAATTTTAAATTCTTTATCCTCTGTTTCATTAGCTAGGACTTCCAGTATAATGTTAAATAGAAGTGGCTATAGTAGGCACTATCTTCTAACTTCCTACATTAGCAGGAAAGCATTTAATATTTTCCATTTAACTATAATGTTCGTAGTAGCTTTTGTTTTTTTAATATATCATGGTGGTGTCCTGAAGCATATTATAAGGAATTTGTTGTGATCTTTTTCTCATTCTAGTAAATAGTCACTTTTAACCTCATTTTGTATTCATAATTTTGCAATTTTTCTTATATAGGCTCTCCTTTCACATTGTATAAACTTAAAACTCCACAGAACTTCGCCCTGTCCCCACTCGTTCAGACGTTCAGTGCTGCCTCCTGTAGGCAGGCTCCAGCTGTCTCCCTGCTCCACCACCTCCAGATGTTGTCCTTCCTCACCAGGCTTGTTGCCCCTTGGTTTCAAGATGATGGCTGCTTCTTCAGACCTAATATCCACTGCTCAGGAAGGAAGAAAAAGAGCACAGTGTCTTCACAGAAAGCTTGGTCTTTTTATTTTGGAAGGAAATTCCCAATTAGCAAACTTCTGCCGATACCTCCTTGATCAAAACTGTGTTCCTTACACCTGTAGCTAGCAGTAAAGGAGATATGCTCACATTTGCTTCTATTAGTCCCCCTGTTGGCACTGGACTTGTTTCTGTCCCTCATCACTCTGGAGTCATCATTTTCCACTGAGACGTGAATGGAAAGCTTATGTGAAAACTCTCATTACTTAATAACTCACTATATATCCACAGTGTTTGCAATTACCTTGTACTTTCATTTGTTGTTCTGTAATTGTTTTCTAATTACATGACACCTAATAAATGACACCATCCTGAATTCTACTTGAATTCTACAATCTGCAGTTTAGTTAGCTACTACCCCTTGCATGCACACACACTGACACATATTCTCTAGAAGCAAGTATAGAAATGAGAAAACAACTCGATAAACACTTATTGGAGAACCCCAACACCTCTTCCCTTTCTGTAGATACATAATTTCTTTTATTATTGTTGTTGTTGCTGTGTGTTACTCTTTATGGAAAAAAATATTGTTTATCATGTTTAACACACATGGGCGAAAAAATGAGAGTGTAAAATGAATGAAAATGAAGGACAAATGCCTTGTTCTTTGCTTCTTCTGATAGTCCAGGGCTATAGAAACAACCATTTTAAAGCGCTTCTAATAATATAGGTGTGCTAATTGTATCTTAATTTGTCATGCTTACAATATTTTTTAACTCTATGCTTTAAAATAGGAAGAATGGTTATTCCCTCTCCTTCCCTATTAGTATCTTTCCCCAATTTCTGTGTTCTCTTAAGTCCTTATGTTTTGGTTCCTGTAAATATTGCTTATTGTGAGGATTATAAGTAATATATTAAATCACAATTTCTAATTCCATTAATTTAGACTCCCCATGATATGAAATAAAAAAAAGTAGTGGCCCCAGGCTTCCCACTCCCTGTGTTTCTCCTGCCTCTCTCCTCCACTTCCATCTGCTATGCCATTACCCTTCCCCTGTCCTGGGGGAGTGTCAGCGCTCAGAATAAGAACAGGCCTCCCAGGCCTCAGGGATGTCAGTGACAGAGGTCATGGATTGCAAAGCGCTCTAACGCCCACTTTCTCTGATCTTCCCTCAACCGAGAAGTGTCAAAAGAAAATTCTGTTTCAGAGTAAAATACCATCTCCTCCAGGAGGGCAGAAGAGTGAGCCCAAGGCAGTGGGTCCCAAACCATGTCTTCCTAGGCCCACTGTACTCCATTGAGCATTCACTCCACTGGGTGAACTTTGCACACGGTAAGGCTCAGCTTTCTCTGATTACCTTAAACGCTCAGTAGAAAAAGGAGCTGCCGGTACTCAGGTAAGATTCTGCTTCTCCAGTTCGCCCCTGTGACAAGGGGTCGTAAGGGAGCCAGTCACCGCCCCTCCTAATTTGGACACACAGTCTCACCAACTCCATCTGCCTTGAAATCTGTCAGGTGTAAGCCCCTTACGTGCGTCACCTATAAATCCCACAATTCCAAGTTCTCTCTCATTCATCTTCTTCTAATTTCCATATGCCTCCTATTATTTATTTTTTCTCCCAGACTCTAATTCCTGAAATCTTTCCACTTTCACTTTGTCCTCTAGAACTCCTAGCCCATCAACAGCAAATCCCTCCATAGTCTCAAACTCAAAACTGATCATTCTCCTCACCGATGCACCTCAACCAAAATCTGCTTCCCCAAAAAAGCTTCTTATGTGGTAGTAACTCACTTTTTCTTACAACTCTCTGGACACAGGGCAAATCCCTACTCCTCCTCTTCGCTTCCAGACCATTCTCCCCTCTTTCTTCCCCCAAATAAAGCAGCACCAAATTTCACGTCATCAGACCCTAACACAACTGCACCTCACTGCTACAGTCAGATCTACCTGGAGTTACACTCCTCATTTCCAGTGATTTTAGCTCCATTCACATGTTTCAACACCACCCCTGTCTTGAATCATGGCCATTTTTAATGTACCCAGAAGTTAAGTCTCAACCTTTATGAGACCGAAATTTAACTCTTGATCCTCCCCCCAGAAAACCTGGTCTATCCAATCTCTCTCATCTATGTTGTTTCTTCTCATGTGACATATCCAATCATTCAGGACATCATGTTGGTCTGCAAAATAACTATAGACAGTACTTCAATTAACAGGTCTATTTTCTGTCCTTGTATTCTTTGAACTTGCAACTAGAGGCTCCAGTCTACATGCTCAGGTCCTTCTAAATGCATTCTGGATTACAGCTACTTCCACTCTATCCCTGGAGACACCCCCATTCCCTTTATATTACATGTAAATAAGCATAGTATATTGACACCCTCTTCTCCTACGCTCCCTTCCTGCATTCTCCTCACTATTAAGGATTTATATAATTTTTCAGTATATTGAACGTCATTTCAGTGGGATGGAGATGAAGGAATAGATAAATATGACTGTCTATTCTACTCTTGTGAACCGGAAACCCCATATCAACTTTAAGACCCCTTGTACCTCTAAAATCCTTTTATTCTTTTTTTGTATCATAAGTTAGAAAGTAATGATGTGACTACATTTAGTTTTAAATGTGCATCTTGAATTTCATTAACCTCAGTTTCATAACAGATGCTACTTTATAAATGCTTTGTTCCCTAAGGTGATTTATAGAAATTAGTGTTTGTGTTGTGACTTAGAATATCATGGGTGGCATAAATATGGGAGACCCCCTGAATCTGGGAAAGGATTCCTTTGATGATACCTGACAGCACAAATGGCTTTAAAGGACTAGTGTTTTCCTTACGTTATCTTTTCATTCTTGGACTCAGAGGCATTTTAAAAGAGAGTTTAGTCACCAGGTTTGACATGCTGAAAAAAAATTCCAACAATCTTCACTACATGATTTTTAATAACCTGATTACGTTTGTCAGTCCTTTGAACACAATGAGCAAATATGTGACATGAGTAATAAACCAGGGGACAAACTAGAAGCAAGTGATGGCATATTAATGAGGGATCTATTCAAAAAGAGTTATGTCTGGGCTGAATAGGAAGTTTTAAAGAAAAATTCCTAAACAGAATAAGAATCTACAGGCTTCTTTCACATGAACTGATAAATTTGAATAAAAGACTTAAATATTCACATAAGCAGGATAAGAATTTCAGACTCTATGTAATTTTAATATCAAAGCAGCAATTCAGTGGAATGTAATAGATTTTCATAATAATAAATTTTTAGAATCATCTGGAAAAGATGTGGGAAATATACCCATTTGGAATCAATTATAAGAGAAATTGATGTTTTAACACAAAAATAAAAGCAACTAATATCCTCTTTTGAGGGTTGTTATAAATGTCCCTCAGAAAAATCCCAGGTGTCTTTGATGTCTCTCAAAGGCCATCAGTGAAGATTGTTTTGTCTTGAATAAAACAGTTTTTTGAGGGTCTTAAAGACCAAAAAAAAAAAAATTACCTGAAATATCTCTATTGATTTTTAAAATGGTTAAGGCTTAGTGTGTTCTCCAGTTCTGGGAAGCATAATGTAATAGAGCGTTACAGTTTAGTTTTCAACTCATCGTCATTTAAAACTTTGGCATTTTGGTGCATATCTTTGCACTCATTTTCCTTCCCTGTAAACTTTGTCTCTACAAGCACAGTTCCTGAAGGAGCAGTTTCACCAGGTAGATGACGCTTCCTCAAAAGAATTAGGATCGAAAAGGCTGGAATATAGCTTGACCCTCGTAGTGCTGCTGGCAATCCGAGGTAGATGTATCTATCAAAAAAAATATGAAAACACATTAAACTATAATAATTTGGTGAGTACAAACTAATTTTGCATATTTTGAATTATTATTTTATTAATTTATATTTTAGTTAGATTTTATTTCATTGTTTTGCATGTTGATCTTATAAAAGCAACTTTGCTGAACTCACTAATTCCTATGGGTGTTAATATTTTTTTGGGAGACAATGTTTCATCAAGAAAATTCAAATTAATTTTCTTCTTTTCTAATATTTCTTGTAATCGTTTTTATTTTATCTTTTTACATTGAATAGAAACTCTAACTTAAATTTAAAACTGATGATATTAGTTATGCAGTATTTAATAAGAATGCTTCCAAAGAACCACAATTAATTATATTTACTCTTGTGGGCTTTTTTTCTTTTTTTCTTAGATGACCATAATCAGGTTAAGTAAGTTACTTACCTTTTCTGAGTTTGCTCAGTTTTAATAATGAATGTGTAAATTGTCTCCAAATCATTTTTCTGCTTGTAGTTAGCAGAACATCCAAGATTTTTCTTCCTCTTTTGTGTCAATAGCATATATTATATTAATAGATTTTTCTAATATTGAACCATCCTTGCATGCCTAAAATAAACCCTACCAGTGAGTTTTTATACATTAGATTCAATTTGTTAATTTTTCATTTTGAATTTTTGTATGTACTTTTGTAAGTAAAATCAGCCTATACTTTTTTCCTTATACTATATACCTTATGTTATAATGTAATATACATTATATATTAATCCTTATACTACTCTAACACAATTATACCTTATACTATATTATGCCCCTCTGATCCTATTACCTTCTGTCCCACTCCAGATATAACACTATGCTGAACTTTATACCTAGCTGATTTTTATAGTTTTCAGAGTGTGTATGTATACATTCATAATATATACACTCATATGATTTACATTGTAAATAATTGGCATAATACTATATGTGTTCTTCTGAAAATTTCTCTATTCGCCCACCATTTTAAACTGTGTTCATACATGTAGTTCTACTTCATTTCCATTTCAGCACATTCCAATGTGTGAACATGCCACAACCTATTAATCCAGTTTAATATTAGACACTTACATTATTCAAGTTGTTTTTAATATCAACAGTACTGTAATAACCCTCCTTTTATGAAATTTTTCATTTGGTAGGTTTCTTCTTGTAATTTTGCAAATGTTTTTTTATATATTTGAGGGTATGTTGATAGGTTTATATGGGTTCATGATTATTATATATTTTTGGTAAAGTTTTCTTTTATTAGTAAATATCCTTCTTTAACTCTTAATCCTTTTCATTTTGAACTTTTTTGTTGTTTCACAGTCATTAACATAATCACAGAAGCTTGATTTAATATCTGTGTGGGGTATTTTTTCTGACCTTTATCTTTAACCTTTCTTGGCACTGTATTTTTTTTAGTCTTTCTCTTGTAAACAACATATAGCTTGAATTTGAAAACTCCAGTATGAAAGCTCCAATAAGAAGCAAATTCAATAGGTTTATACTTATTGTGAAACATGGTATATTTAGTTGGGTTTTTTTCAACTTATTTTGTCTGCTTTTACTTCCAACTCTCTTAAGGCCATTGAATTTTCCTTTAATGCTTTTCTCCTTTTCTATTAGACTGAAACTAATGTAAGTGATGCTTATTACATTTTGGGGAAACTTTAATGTTAATCAACATTTCTGTTCTCAAAAACTGTAAAAGAGTCTTAGATTTTACCTGTATTTTCTGCTAATAGTTCAGCCTGCCATAGTTGCATACATGCTAGCAGAAGATACAAGATTTCTTAGAGACAAAGGACTTTTTTACTTACAGTACAGCAACTGGCACAAACTTCATCTTCATTCTGAGTTTCCTTAACCCCAATGTCCCAAAAGGGTGACACAGAAGGAGACCCAGATGGATGCTGTTCACACAGTGGGTTTCAGTCATAGCTAAGAAATCGTGAGTTTAGGGAATCCCAATCTTTTAAATGGGGTGTAAGCAAATCTGCCAACCTTTTCCCTAGAGGAAGATATTATTTTGGTCATCCTGCATAGCAAACTCTGCACCAGAGGGAAATACTGTATCTTCCAAGGCCATATTTACTGTTCAAACATCCTAGAAAACATAGTCCAGAACAAAAGCCTGTGCTAACAAGATATAGAGAAATTCAAGGGACCCATGGAGAATTGTCTACCAAAGTAGCTAGTTCTTGTTTCTATAATGTATCAGCTTCTGGTGAATGTTCTCAGGAGTACACATCTAGCCACTCTAATTAATCTGACTGACAGAGGATAGTACCAAATAAAATTATTTTGTCTGACATAGCATTTAATTAAGGCTACGTCAACAGGAATCCAAGCAGCAGAAGGAGGCCAACCTACATTAATGATCCTCAGGGTTCCTCAGCTGTGATACAAACCCACTGCACACACAGGAGGTGCTTGGTCCCCTCCACAGACCCCTGTCCAACTTTGCAGGAACTGGGAACTGATGAAAACACGCTATCATGTTTTCTCATGCTGTCAGCTCTCTTTGCTGTTCAAGATCAAGGTAAGGCCATAAATGTTTTAAACAATGCCAAACTGGTTTTTAGTAAATGAAAGAGTTTTCTTATTGCCCAATCAGGAGACGTTAAGGCAAATCTAAGCAAAATTCAGGACTCTAAAAGAAAAAGAACATGAATACAGAAAAAGAAAAATGGAAGAGTTTTGTTCAAAAACAGGTTAATATTATATGAGTTTTGCTCAAAATCAGATCTATTATCAATGAAAAATAAGCCTTTAAGAGACATGAAGAATATTGTGTTAGCGAAATTTAATGAGGAGAACAAATATCATTTTGGAGATTAGAGGTGGATCATGAAAGGAAGTAAGGATTCAGGCTTGTAAGATGCTAAAATGATGTAAGATGAAATGGGAATATTTTAGAGAGTAATATAGACAAGTCAATTAAATACCATCATTATCTTCAATAATTGCAACCAGTTCAACAGAATATTTTGAAAGGCTTAACCTAGCCTTCAGGGAAGTCATCCATGCTTATCTTTATCAAGTACTTTGAAAATATAGAGGAAATAAAATTCCAGTATATAAATATGGAATGGAGATATACTATCAGTATCTATTTTAGAAACAGCAAAAGTAGTCTTGTCACCTGACAAAGAAAATGTTAGAAATGAATGGGGCCATTTTCTGAGACATACAGGTCTATGCTTAGAAAGTAAATCTCAAGAAAAAAGTTGTTATATTTACCTGAAGTTGGTGGAATCATACATCCTGCATGCCCCTGACTCACCACATTTCAAAGTTCCCCAGTGTAAACACGTATAATCCACTAAAGCTCCAAAATATATAGGTGCAGGAATTCCAGCTACAATTAAGGGAAGCAAAAAAAAAAAATCTATCAACAAGGTAAAAGTTAAGATACATTGTTTTATTGGGAAACATTTCAATTTCGCCTATCTGTAGAACAAATAAAGTTTACCAAAATATAAATCTAATGAACTAAGTTTTATTTTTATAAATTAGAAGTTATTTTTACTGTAAAGTTTCTAGATTATAAAGAATAAGTAATTTGATGGATAAATGCAACATAAGAGTTACTGGTAAAATCATTGAATTAATGATTATTTCTATTTTTTTTCTGCAGCGGTTTTTGTCAGTCAAGTACATTTTATATTAACAAAGTATTTCCTGTTCATTTGTTTTTCAGATCTAATATTTGAAAAGTGGAATTAAGGTCAGATAGGTCTTTTTCCAGTAAAAGGGGGGAGTTTTCCATTTCTTCTTGTACTTCATTCTCATACTAATTGCAAAGTGCTATTTTAAAGAAAAAGAGATATTTGCTATTTTAAAGCAGAAGAGATAATTGCTAGTAAGTATTTAATAATGGTCTTTTTAATAATTACTTAATCATATTAAATAATTAATAATGTTGAGGAAAATAATGATTTTTTACCAAATACTCTTGTGCAGAATGCATGTAATCCCACACCGAGAGACTTCTCTTCAGGCTTGATACACCTAAAAGGTAAGTAAATTCATAAATAAAATAAAAATAGAGATTTTTAAACTATTATAGGCTCTTAAAAGAACTGTTTTTATGCTAATAACACAGCAAACTTTAGAAATTTTTCTTGCATGCTCAGGTCTTAGTTATTCAAGGCCTGATTATCTAATTTACAGCCTGCACAGGAGCCCCACTTCTGGTCCTTAGCGTTTTACTCATCAGTTTTTGCTCATTCATTTCTATTGGAAAGTTATCAAAGAAGAAAATATTTCATATCAATCGATTTCTACTCCAGTATTCTCTTCTTCAAGCATAAATTTTTGATTCTAATGGTTAAACTCTAAGGCTAAAACAAGAACAATGCAATCCTAGCTGTAGTTAATTTATTTGTATTCAGAAAATACAGAAAGCCAAACGTTTGTATAAGTAGATGTAAGGAAGAAAGAAAGCAAGAATAAAAACAAGAAAAGTGTTTAAAAAATTTCAAAACAAACATATTTTAAGTGATTTGGTATCATTTCAAGAGTCCTACAGATTCCTCCATTCTCTCCAACAATTACTCCAGCTTTTCACTGTTGCCTGAAATCCCTGCAAGTAGAAATGAAGAATGTAATTCCCGGATATCACTATCTGTGTCCCATTCACTTCAGCATCAGTGTAGCTACCTGCTCAAAGAATTCACTTTGAGAGTTCCCCTGGATTCATACAAAGCTGAGAAAATCAAAGCAGTTTTTTCACAAAACAATACAATATAGTTTTCTCAAAAATGTCATTTTATTAGCATTTTCTTGGTCCAAGTATTTTACTGGATTCTATAGACTCATAGGTTGAGGCACAGATAATTTGGACGTTATCTGTCTGACATAAAGGGTTTTTTTTAAACAACATCATCAATGATTTTACTTAGAAGGAAGTAAGAAAATCCAGGAGACCTAGTATGGCCCCAATGGTCCCATGATTTTCCTTTAATACAGAAAACAGTCATTCAAATTTTATTGAAGAGTTTTTCTTTCTCCTGTCTTTCTATAGTATCACTTTATGACCTCATAGAAGCATGACATTTTAATAATTAAGAAATTGAAAGCAACTTAAACTATTCTCCAAACTCTATTATTGATTGGCTTTGGTAATAACATCCATTTCTAGAATCCAAGAATCAGAAAGAAAAATTAGAGTGCAAATTGTGGGAAATGCTGAGAGAAATTCAAATTGTTCTTTGAAACTGGCGGAGTAGTATGGACGTTGCATCTATCTTTATGGCAGGAGATCCATCGAGGTTCCACAAAATAGAAAAGAGCATAAGTATATCCATAAAAATCCAGGTGGTAAACTCTACAATATTTTAGCAAAATAAAATAAAAATTTGAAAATAGAAATTTGAAAATATTTTAGGAAGAGAGTAAAGACATGGTGAAAGCTGAGAACATGATTAGTTGTCTTATTAAGGAGATATTAACACTGAAATGTTTTTAAATTGATAAGCAAAATATAAATGTAGCTAAGAAATTCAATAATCAGGTTAACCTGTAAAGATGTAGCTTTCAAAGCAGCTGCAGAAAATCCAATATATTACAGTAGTCCCTTTTTATCTGCAGTTTCACATTCCATGGTTTCAGTACCCGTGGTCAACTGTGGTCCAGAACCAGGTGGTCCTCCTTCTGACATAGTGTCAGAAGGCCAGCAGTAGCTTAGTGCCATGTGACAATGCCTGAGTCATTCACCTCACTTCATCTTATCACATAGGTCTCTTATCATCTCATATTATCACAGGAGGAAGAAGGGTGAGTACAATACAAAAAGAAATTTGAGAGACAACATCCACACAACTTTTAACACAGTATATTATTATAATTGTCTATTTTTATTATTAACATCTGTATATGTTGTTACTCTCTTACTCTGCCTAATATATAAGTTGAACTTTATCATAGGTATATGTGTATAGGAAAAAAACATCATCCTATATATATAGGGTTTGGTACAATGTGTAGTTTCAGGAATCCAGTGGAGGTCTTGGAATGTACCCTTTGTGGGTAAGGTGGGACTACTTACAATGGAAAGCAAAAAGAAAGTCAAATGAATAGAATATGTGAAATAAAACTGTCCAGAAATATAAGTGGGTTAAATTCAACAGCTCAGATTATAAAATCAGGTGTAGCAAACTGTCTGTGAAGCAAAATGGAAGACTAGAGATAAAGGAAAGGACAAAGATACAAGCAATAATGAAGCAAAAGCTAGAACTGCAATTTTCAAATGAAACAAAAGAGAATTCCCTGGAAGAAATGAGAGAAGTGAAGAAGAAAATTAAGTGGTGCTAAAAATAGAAGGCATATTTGCTTCCTACAATATAGCCTCCAAATCTGTAAATTTAAAGACCGATAGACTCCATATAAGTAAACTTAAAATTTTCTGAGAAATACATCAGCAAATTTTAGAGATTTTAACAACCATCTTGAAAAACTGATGGATTAAGCAAACAAAAAAACAAGTATAGATTTACCAGATTTAGATAATTCGATGAATTACTTCAACCCAAGAAATAGGGGAACTGTATACCCAAACTGTCGAAGCTAAGCATTCTTTTCAAAAATACATGAAACACTCAAAAATTGATCTAGGGCCCAAAGAAAGTCTTGATATTTACCCATATCTTTCAGATTATGTTCTTAGAATATTAAAAATGAAATAATAATGAAAGAGTACCTACAAAAAGTTCTTGTTGATATGGAAATTATACACCACTCATAAATAAATTTTCACTTGGTTAGACAAATCAAAAAAGTTTATGAATAGTCAGAAATAAACTTCACAGGAAATACTAGTCAAGGCATAGTAATATTTGGAAGGAAATGTATGATTTTCTAAACAATCAAAATGAACAAATGATGTAAGAGTTAAGTTCAAACTGTTGGATAAAGGAAAACAGAACAAATGCCAAAGCAAAAAATAAATGAGTAAAATAAAATTTTTAAATAAAGAAAATAAATACATGAAATAAAGATTAACAAAACTAAAAACTGATTCTCTAAAAAATAAAGAAACAGACAAGCCTACGGCGAAAAAAATTATCAAGAATAAAGACAGTGCAAATAAACAAAATACAGAAGGAAAAACCCTCCAGATACATCAAATAATGTAAAAGTGATAAAGAAATATTATCTAATATTTCTATATACTAATAAGCATATACATACTAATAAGCATATAACAGGTGTGAGCAGATATGGAAAAGGTGAATAGATACTAGCAATAAGAGGAAATAATAATCAAATATCTCTGTCCAAATAAGCCAAAGTAAAATAGTTTTACATGTGAATTTTATAAAATTTACAAAACAAAATTTTAATGCAAGTAGTTCCAGAAATTTAAAAATAGAAAATTTACCAGTTAATTTTATGAGAGTAGAATGATACCAAAACAAATAGAATAAAAAGTAATAGGTCTGCTTTATTTGTCATTGTAGATATAACAATTTAAAATAAAGAATTGTTTAAACAAATCAAATCACATATAAAAATATATTATGATTAAGTATGCTTTTTCTCAGATATGCAAACAGTTCAACATAAAAATATGCATCCCTTGATTTCACTACACGAAGAGTACTGAGCAGGAAAAATCACAGATGGCTTTTTCATAGATGAGGAAAAATAGATTTAATAAACTTTAATTCTGTTTTATTATTAAAAACTCAGAAGCTAGGTGAAAAAACTACAGTTGACCCTGGAACAACCTGGGTTTGAACTGAATGGGCCATTATACACAGATTGTTTCCAGTGAATATATTGGAAAAATTTTTGGAGATTTGCGAAAATTTGAAAAACAGCTGACAAACCAGTAGCCTAGAGATATCAAAAAATAAAAAGAAGGGATGTCATGAATGCATAAAATATATGTAGATACTAGTCTAGTTTATCACTTACTACCATAAATATGTACAAATAATATAATAAAAAAATGAAATTTATCAGAACTTACACAGACAGTGCATGGGTGCCTTCACAGTTGAGAGAAATGCAAGCAAACCTAAGGATGCAGTATGAAATCATAACTGCATAAAATTACCTGCAGTACATAGTGTATGATTGTAATAATTTGTAGCCACATCCTGTTACTACTGCAGTGAGCTCAAATATAAATATCTACTTCAAAAGTCCTGTGATGCTAACCACCTCTGCATGAGTAGTTTATGTTTCCAGTAAATTGTGTGTCATAATAAAAAAGTGACCTCTCACAGTTCTTGTGTATTTTTTAAATCATATTTACTGCAATACCTAAACCTTGAATAACACCATAGGGCCCATAAGAAGCACCACCAGTGATGCTGGAAGTGATCCCAAGAAGCACAGAAAAGTCATGACATTACAAGAGAAAGCTGAATTGTTTGATTGAGGTCTACAACTACAGTTGCCCAGTAAGTCCAAACAAATAATCCAGCATAAGGACCATTGTAAAAAAAGTCAAGTCATGAAGCCAGCACTGCAACCTAGAAGCAGGAAAAAAATCCTTGCACTTTCTGCAAAATTCTTTTTCATCTCGTATTGAAAATGCAACTTTCATGTGGGTGTAGGATTGCTATAAGAAACACGTAACTGTCAACTCTAATGTGATCTGAGAAAAAGTGAAGTCATTATAATGCTAACTTAAAGCAAAGAGGTGAAGGATGTAAAGCTGGAGAGTTTAATGGCAGTGAAGGATGGCTTGATAATTTTAGATATTTGGCTATAAAAATATCAAGACAACAGATGAAGCCCTCCTGCCAGCCAAAAGGCAGCAGAGTTTCCAGATATTATTTTAAAAATCATTAAGGAGAAAGGATATCTGCTTGAACAGATTTTTAATGAGATGAAAGTGCCCTATTCTGGAAAAAATAAGTGCCACACAGCACAGTTATTAGTAAGGAGGAGAAGTGAGCATCAAAATTAAAAGCAGAAAGGCATAGACTAACTCTACTTTTTTGAGCACATGTACTTGGGTTTACAATAAGGACCTCACTTATCTATAAAGTGGCTAA